GGCATTATTTCCCATGGATCGTGAGTACAATTTTTCTCTGAGCCTTAGTCCCATTTGGAAACTGGGATTCATACTGGGTTACTATGAGGATTAAATGAGTTAATACACACAAAACTCTTAGAATAGTTCCCAGCTCATAAAAAGCAAACAAAAACCGTGAATCTCAAAGTAGATACCTACCTTATATCTACAGCTTGCTAAAATTCACAAGGAGATGGAAGGGAGGTGGCTGAAATCTCAGGATCCTGGGGACCCACGTTCAGTTCTGTTGCCTAAAATAGCTCAATTATATTCCCATAGGTCCCCAAGGGGAGTTGGGCATTAACAGATACTCTCATGGATGAGGCAGGGGACAAACATGTGAGGAAAACTCACTAGAAAGAGTAGTGGAGAGATTTGGAGAGGCCATACCAATCTTCAAGGACATCCGGGCCTCAGTTCCAGCCCTCAACTATATGGAGAAATGAGACCAGGATGGCTGAGCTGGCCAACTTTTTAAGAAAAATGGGAAGTCTAGATTGTTTACATCAATTCTCCAAATTTTGCAACATGGTAGAACAAAGATGACATCGCTCATGTAGAGTAAGACCCAAATCATGCAGACTGGGATGCCTGGTACGAAACCTGGCATTTCCAGTCAGTGCAACTCTGGTAAGACTTAGGGCTTTGGTCCCCAGCTCGTCTGCAGTGTTCAAGTGCTAGGTCCAAGGGTTTTCTTCCCTCTTCCCAAATGTGTACGATGGAATCCTAACCCCTGAAATGATGACGGAGGGCCCCATGGAGGTAATTACGGTATGAAAGCAGAGCTTAATGAAGAGCATTCATGACCTTATTCTTCGGTGTCACAGGAGACACAAAAGACTGAACAGCCTCTTCCTCTTGCAGCCTACCCTCACCTCAGTCCATGGATGGGGTTAAGGAAAAGGGAAACCAGGGAAACGGGGGTGGGGAAGCTCTCCCTAAAATACCACAACCACTCGGCCTAAGCTGTCTCCTGCAGTCATTCTTCTCCTCATAGAGAAGGCAGCCAGGACTTAGCAGGACGCAGAGAGCTAAAGGGGAGAAGGGGGCTCGGGCTGTCTCCATCTCCATCAGTTCAGATGAACACAAAATGTACTTACGATGCAAGGTGACTTCCAAACAAGATTGCTTACAAGGAACAACCCAGCAGGATGGCTTTGATTAGGAAGACAGATAATGACACATACTGGGGAGGATGTGTGAAAAACGCGATCCTCCTAGACTGCTAATGAGAATGCAAAGAGATGCAATCTCTCCGGAGCACCACCTGACAATTCCCCCCAAAAGACTTACCACGTGACCCAGAAATTTTCTTCCTGGGAAGAGAAGGCAGCTGTCTGTTTACACAAAGACCTGTACACCTCGTCCGTAACAGTGTTACTCATACTAACCAAAAGGCAGAAACGACCCAAATATCTATCAACTGGCGCACAGATAAACAAAATGCAGTGAACCCATACAACAAACACTATTCAGGAAAACAGTAGCAGTGAGGTACTGAAACCTCCCACGACATGGATGAGCCTCAAAAAATGCTAAGTGGAAGAAATAAATGCAAAGATCCCATATCATACAGTTCCACGCGTATGAAATATTGAGAGCAGGCAAATCTCTAGCAAAAGAAAGTAGCTTGGTGGCCACCTAGGGCTGGGCACAACGGGGCCAGTTGTTGGGTTAGCAGAGGTAGAGTGGTACAGGGTATGGGTTTTTTTCCAGAAGTGATGAACATGTTCTACAATTGATTGTGGCAATGGTGAGGAAACGCTTTCTTTCCTTCCTTTATTTCTTCACTTATTTATTTTATTTTACTGGTACATTTTAGATTACATAATGATAACATCCACCATAGGGAAGTTGTACTTGTACATGATGTATCTTTCTTTGTTTTTTTTCCTGTTTCTCTTCTCTCTCCCCCCGCCCCCTTATCTATAAAAGCGCTGTTTCCATTTTTCTCTTTGAAGCATTCAGGAGATCGCACCAGTGCTCCCAAAGGATGGTTTCCCTCAAGGACTCAGGGATCCTGCTAGGGTGACCTGGCCTGGCTTCACCAGCACTGCCTCAGTGTGAGCCCTGAGAATCCCGTGTCCTGGAAAATCCCTAATTGCTGGGCGAGCCAGGACAGCCGCTCCTCCCAGGGCCACCCTTTCCCATACAGGAAAACTCTGCCCAAGGGATGGCAGCGAATATCCAGACAATCCTTCCCCATAAATTCCCCTTGAGCTCCCTCTAATGGCCAAAATGTATCTTTATCATTGATGTTCCCATTATACAGACGAGGAAATCGAGATTCAGAAAGGTGGAAAACTTGCTGGGAGCACATAAGGGCCAGGAACTCAGTCTGAATTTTCTTCTAAGGCCCTTCCACTTGTCATATGGTCTCTGGGTTGATTGTCCAGCAATGCTTTTAGCTTCTTCTTGCCCACTGAGGAAGGTAGTGAGACATCCAGAGGATACACAAGTTTTCAGCAATGGGAAGACAAGGAGACACTGCAGCTTTTCTTTTTGTCAGAACCGGTTTTATTTGAGCCAGATTTTACTCAGGAAGGTAGCACAGCATCTGGAGCCAGACTGCCCAAGTTCGAGTCTGTGCTTTGCCTCTACTTAGCTGTGTGACCTCAGGCAAGTTACTGAACTTCTCTATGTCTCAGTTTCCCAGTGTTGAAAGTGGGGAAAATAAGACCTGTGTGGTGACACACATATGTAACCCTTGCACTCCAGGAGGCTGAGGCAAGAGAATCCAAAGTCTGAGCCCAGTCTGGCAACTTAGTAACTTAGTGAGACCCTGTCTCAAAATTTTAATATATATATTTTTAAAGGGCTGGGATGTTTGTTGTTCAGTGAAGTGGCCCTGGGTTCAATCCCTAGTACCACCACAAAAAATGCATATGGTGGGAGAATAATAGCAGAATATATGCATACATGTGCCCAGATATGTTCAATATAATATATAACTATAACATAGGATGACATGGAACATGGCATATAGCAAGCTTATTAAATAAGTGAAGGTAAGCACTGATTCCTACATTGAAAATAGGATAGAAATCAGACTGGATCCAGCAAAACTAGGCGAAGGGACCAAATTATGGACATGGACACTGACATTTTGTTCTGTACTGTTCATTCCTATCACAGTGCACATGGTTTGGGAAAAGCTGAAACAAACTTTTAAATGCAACCAGGCCCTGGCAACCAGGGCTATCTGACCAAAATAAGAAGACATGATGCCAAGCCACCCACCACTGCTTGGAACCCAAAGATCCCACACCTGCCCCTAAGGGCAAGGATGGCTGGGTATCCTCCCACTGGGGCAGAGTCTGGCACTCAGCTTTGCTTTCCAAAGGAGGCTTCCTCAGCATCATACAGATGTAGAAACAGTCTCAAAAACATTCAAGGATTTATTGATGCTACAGTCAATATATAGAACGAGGACTCGAGCGTAGGTTGAATTCTGCAGTCCCTGTGTTACTGCCTCTGTCCATGATACAGTACTGTGCCTCCACAGGGAGGCTGCCCATTGGGGGAAGCGTCTTGGAGCCTGGAGACCACACTCTCCATCTGTATCCCAGAAGACAAGGAAGAGACTTAGAAATAATGAAGGCCACTGAAATCAATCTTAAATCTAACCACTTTTTAAATGTTGTTTATTTCATAAACGTTCTATTCCCCTAGGGTATTGTGAACTGCTCTGTGGAGCAGGAATTAAGCTTACACCTTGCAGTGCCATGGCTGCAAGCAACAATTAGGCCACGAGGATTCTTACAAAAAAGGGAGCAGCCAAGAATGAGAGCTGGAATCAGGACTCTGTAACAAAGTGGTTCTCAAAGTGTTCTCCTCCTCACAGGGTTTCTTCCATAGTCAACTTGGTTTCTGTTCCTGGGCCTTAACAATATCCCCTCGGAAATAAACAAAAAACAAAAAGCAAACAAACAAAAAGCAATATCCCCTCAGAAAACGGTAAAAGGAAGAAAAGGAAACAGAGAAACAAACATCCTCAGCGTCTTACCTGTTTTTGGAATTTCACAATTAGACATTTTCTTTTTGTCAGAACCTGTTGTCTAACAGATTTTACTCAGGAAGGTGGGGGGGGTGGAGAAAGAGAACCAACAAAACAGTGAAGGTGGATCAAATAAATGGCAAAGGTAGGGGATTTGGGGGGCAGAGGAGATGGTTGTTATCATAGGACTTCACAATTTCAGTTTGTTTTGAAGTAGGACCTCTGGGCACTGGGCAAATCGGAGTCCATTACCGACGACTCAAAATCATTCATTAGATTTTTATAATTATCTTGTTGAAGAAACGGATGAAATAATTCCTATGAACTACCTCCCATCCCACCCCTGCCATGGACATTACAAGACCCTAGACAGCTTCCCTTATTGGCCCCTATTCCAAAAACTTCCTCACCGACTCTCAAACGACATCTCCCCTGGGACTACAAGATGCATACTAAAGAGTCGAAATGATTCAGTGTCCCCATCTGGATAAATCTAATAATCATACCAGCTCTTATATAGTGGAAATTATACACGCAAATTCTACATTTTACATTTTTTGAAATGGTGTGAGTGTAAATTCCAAGAATTCTAGTATGCATAGTCTTGTAATTCCAAGTCTCCAGGTACACGTATTACTTCTAAACAGCAAGGCTTCCAAGGCGCCTAACAACACCGCGGGTACATTCCCCAAATCAGCCTGCCCAGCACACGGGTCAAGGGAAAACTGGCTTTCTTAACCATGTAGGTAGATAAACCAAGTCAATTTGATCCCCTGAAAACCATCCTCTGCCTGCGTCCTCCCGGAATCTCGGTCCTCGCGTAGCCGGGTTTAGACCTCTAGCCACAGAGCCCACCTTGAGTCCTTTCAGGTCCACAGTGTCGCTGGCGAACCCACTCCTGCCACCCTGAAGGACTACAGACCCCGGAATGCCTAGCGCAGACGGCTGGAGCCACGTGATCGCGCTCCCCGGGAGGCGTCTTCACGTGACTCCGGGAAGATGGCCGCCGTAACAGCCAAGCACTTTGCAGCACTGCAGAGCCTGCTGAAGGTAAATTGAGGGAAGGGAACGCGTGCGGCTGCGTTTTGGTACCCGGACTTTGTCTAAAGCAGGAATTAGGAATAAACTAGCGGTGGTTTGGAGCCACCATTCTGCCGCTGCTTCTCTGTGTTACTCCGGGCAAATTGATGCGTCCTGAGTTTATTAAGAGCAGGATCAAACAACACCGAGAGAAGACAGGAGAAACAATGAGATGAAAGCGTGAAGGTGCTGTTTAAATGCCCTCTGGGACTGTACTAGTTTTCAGTATTGGTGCATGGAGGTGGTAATTGCTAGCTTTGCGTTACGAGCTCCCCTTTTCACCCAGCAGTCTTTTCACTCCTGGTTAAACTCTCCGTCTGCAGCCACCCGGGCCTTGGAGTTAGGATGTGCCCTGATTCTCCCGAGGCCTGAGTTTCTTCCACTCACTTTGGCCAGTATAGGGGCCAAAATACTCTCCTGATCATTTGTTTGAAAGATTGTGAAGTTCAAAGAGATGTTCTTTAAAGGTCGTAGTAAAGCTCAAATTAAATGCTAGGTTGGAATTACCTGTTGTCACTAGCTGACATTACAATGGTCTGTTGCCTGCTGTCTTCCTTCAAGAAAGTAAGATCCAGAAAGGAACTTCTCTTTCTTTCCTTTCTTCTCTCCTTAGGTAAAAAAGGTTGAGTTAATTACACTAATTTCATGGCATAGCACGTCAGTTCATGAGATAGCTCTAATTTGTGTTACTTATTTTGTAATGTCCTCCCCAGTATTCATTTGCACTCTCCAGGCCTAAAGGCATTTATTTTGTTGTCACAATGTATCCCAACATATAGAACAACACCCGGGATACAGCATGTGCTCAGTAAGTGGCTGTTAAATAACTGAATTAGTGTAGTGACTTGGCTGCTGATTGGAAACCTAGAGTTTTCAGCTTTCAACCGAGTGCCTTTTCACTTCGTTGTTTCTGCTTTGCACACTGTCTCCTGCGCATGGTTGTCTTGTGGACTTTTTTCTATAATAAAGTTTTGAAAACGAATATATTGCATAGTTACAGAAAATGCACCAATCATAAGTGCACAGGTTTATCACTTATTACATACCCATGTAACCACCACAAAAAGTAAAAAAATGAAACATAATTGATGCTTCAGAGTCACTCTATTGCTTCTTCATTATTTTCCCCACCCTCCTCACTGGCAATAACCACTATCATTCTTCTAACACAAAACTGGGGGCCATATTAAGAGTCATAATCACAAGATACAATGAATGTTTGAATATTTTAAAAACATATTGTAATAAAAAATATTGCCATCAATACCCCACAAAACTCTCCTCCTTGCTTGCATCACACTTATTCCATCTTTTTTGTCATTTTCTGAAACATTTCTAGAAAACCACTTTTGTGTCTTACAATAGTAATGGTTACTTTGAGATCCTGAATCAACTCAAGTTTACCTTTCATGGTCATTTTGATTTGGGGAGGATAGCCAAAAGTTGTATGGTGCCAGATCTGGTGAATATCATGAATAAGAAAACACCTTAATGTTTTCCCAAGCCTGCATTTCCAATGGATGACACTCAGTAGTAGCATTCGCAGTAGTTTTGGTCACACCTCATAAAGACAGTCACAAAAAAGGGCTTCCAGAAAGTGGCAGGAATGATGGGACAAATGTGTTTGAGGTGAAGGGGAATATGTTAAGTGGGATTAATGGCAATGTGTCTTTTAGTGTAATAAATTTTAAAAATGCAAGCACATCATACGTTTCAGTCAGCTAGTGTTTGCTAGGTCTGCCATGACAGAGGACAAATTAGGTGGCTAAAACAGCAGAAATTTATTGTCTCACATTTCTGGAGGCTGTAAGTCCAAGATCAAGGTGTTAGATGGATTGGTACTTCCTAAGGAACAGTCTGTTCCATTTCTCTCTCCTTGAAAACGCTGACATATCTTGGTTTATACATTGCTGCATTCATCCTTACATGGCATATTTCCTTTGTCCAAATGTCCTTTCCTTTCTGTTTTTCTCTTTTTTGGGGGTGGGTGGTGGTACTCAGGGTGGACCCGAGGCTTTCACAATGAGCTGCATCCCAGCCTTTTTTAAAAAAATGAAGACATTGATTAAATTTGATTAGTCCACCCTAAAAGTCTCATCTTAACTAATTACATGTACAACAACACTATTTCCAAATAATGTCACATTCTAAGATGACTAGGGATTAGGAAGAAGGAAGAATACAGTTCAACCCATGACCCTTTCTCAGAGCAAAAGATTTAATTTGATGACATACAGTTTGTTGTTTTTTTCTTTTATAAATTATGCTTTTGGGAACAAGTCTAAAATCTTGCCAAGTCATAAACCAAAACTTTCTTATTTTTTCTAAAAGTTACAGTTTTCCATTTTATATTTGTATTTTAAGTCTATGATTCATTTTGAGTTGTATATAAAGTTTGTAAGGCTAAAGTTGAATAGGGTGTTGTTGTTGTTGATATCCATTTGTTTTGGTACCATTTGTTGACATGGATATCTTTCCTTCATTGAATTGCTTTTGCATCTTTGTCCAGAATCAGTTGGACATATTTGTGTGGATATATTTTAGCATTCTCTACTCTGTTGCATTGATCCGTGTGTGTATCTTTCTGAAGGTGCTGCACACTCTTGATTGCTGTAGCTATATAACTTTGAAATTAGATAGGTTGATTCTTTTAGTAAATTCTTTATCAAAATTACTTTAGATATTTTACTTCCTTTGTCCTTCAAGGTAAATCTTGAAACTTTTGGCTATATCTAAAAAAACCAAAAATCTTTCTAAGCTTTTGATTAGTGTCTTAGTTACTTTTTCCATTGCTGAAACAAAATATCCAACATCCATAAGTTAAAGGAGGAAAGGTTTATTTGGGCTCACATTTTGTAGAGGTTTCAGTCCATAGTGAGCTGGCTGGGTGGCATGGCAGAGGAGAAACAGTGCTTGGCAGAGCAGACAGGAGGTGGGGTGGCAGCAAGCTTCCCTTATCCTAGGCAGGTTACAAGCCTTTTGAGTGGTGCCATCCACACACAGGGTGGGCCTTCCAATTATCCATACTCAGAATTATGCTCAACCAATCTATGGACTAATTTAGTTATCACACCCTTACTCCATTTTCAGACCTTTGGACACCTTAGATATTGCCACCTCCAAAAAGCTCCACATGTAGGACATGAGGCTTTGTGTGGGGACATCTGGATATAAGCCATAGCAGTTTGAATTGCATTATCCTATATACTAATCAAGAGAGCATTGACATCTTCAGAATGTTGACTCTTCCAGTCCACAAACATGATATCTCTCTATACTTAGATATTCTTTGATTTCTTCTGAATTATGTAGTTTTCAGCACACAAGTCCTATATTTCATTTTTTGAGCAATTTCAAATGCTTTATTTTTACAGTGTAAATGAAAATTTTTAATTTAAATATACACCGTATTTTTTTATCAGCCCTGATATATTTATTGCTCATTTCTGTTTGTTAAAATGTAATAAAGATTTTGGGTCTATTTTCATGAGGGATATAGTTTTCCTTTTTGTACTGTTTTAGTATCAAGGTAATATTAGCTGTAAAATGCATTGAAAATGCTTCCCTCCTATTCTGTTTTATGAAACAACATTGTATAGAATTGGTTAGCTCATTTTTAACTGTTCGTTAGCACTCTCCAATGAAGCCAGCCAGACCTGGAGGGTTGTTTGTTTTAACAAGTTTTATTAAAGTTATGAGTTCAGTTTCCTTAATAGCTACAGAAATATCCAAATTTTCGATTTCCTGGGGGAAACTGTAATAGTTGGTGTTTTTTTGAGTAATTGGTCCATTTTGCTTCTGATCTATGCATTTAATCCCGTCAATTCTTTCCTCAACACTTCAGTGGTTTGGTCCTGCAAATGTTGATAGACTGTTGTCTCATTTCTTTTTAAGTTCCCTTGAGACTTTATGAAATTTGATTATTTAGAAATGTGTCACATTTCTAATTGTTTAGATGAAATAATAGAATGTGTTCTCTCTTTTTTTTATGGGCCAGAAAATGTTCTTAATATTAAACTAGAAATCAGTAACAGCTTTTTTTTTTGTTTTAGAATTCTGCTTAGATTTAATCTGTAGTTTTAAAATGCATTTCTTTTTATAACTTTTTAGTGTTTGCTTGAATTACTGCATTATATATGCATAGCTTATTTTAATAGTTAGAATGAGGTGTAGAAATTTTACTTCCCTCTGTGTCCTTTTACCTCCCCTCACTATTGTCTTAAAAATTTCCTTTCTTTACATTTAGAATTTCATCAGTGTTACAATTTTTGTTTCTGCCTTTTGAAAATTCATGGGGAAAAAAGGAAAACTTTCTGGTTTTGTATCTACTTTTGCGTGTTCTATTCCTTCTTCCTGATACTCCAAGATTCTTTCTTGTTTGAGGAATATCTGGTTTGAAAGAACTAACTGCTCTATGCTTGAGGTGCCAAGAGACCAAAGAAATCTGTCAGGCATATTTGGTTTACTGACCATGCCAGGATTCTGTATGTAATGCTCCACAGACCACTGTAACACAGTAGTTTTGGTTTTCTATAATGTGCTGGCAAACAGTGGGAAAAGGTAAGGCCATTGTTCCTCAAGGGCAAATCTTGATGGTTATAATTCAGGAGGGCAGCAAGCTGGATCCCTCGGCTTGTTTTATTTCTTTTCTGTGTAGAGAATGTAATTTTGCCATTATTTTGTGGTAGATCTAGTGATGGAGTTTTTAAATTATCTTTATCAGTGAATGAATGAGTGTCTTGATTTCCTCTTCATGCGTGAAGGCTATTTTTGCTAACTGTAGGATTCAAGGTTAGTGTTCTTTCTTTCCTTTCATCACCTGAAAAATATCGTGCCACTTCCTCTGGTCTTTGTGGTTTCTGATAATTGTTTACTTTAAGTAGAGTAGTATTTCTGTCTTCCCACTTTCAAGATAATTTGCCCTTCATTTTCAGAACTTTAATTTTGATGTCTATCTTGGTGTGAGGCTTTTAAGTATTATATTTTTCCGATATAAAATTTCTGTTTTATTCTTAACATCTTCCATTTCATTGCTGAGACATTCTCCTTTTTTATTCAAGCTTATTCATAATTACTTAGTCAAGTATTATTATCAGGACTGCTTTAAAATCTTTTGTCATTCAGCTTGAGATCTTTCTGGTTCCTCATTTGATAAATTGTTTGTGTGTTTGTTTGAAACCTGGACTTGTTCATAGTACGCTCTGAACCTCTTATAATTTAGCTGGTTTTCTGTGACACTGCTCAGGTGTGGAAAGCAGCCACTACCTCGTTGGAAGAAGTCCAGGTTCCCCACCTGACACCTGTCGGTGTCTGAATGTAGCAGTTTCTTGCAACTGCTGCTAGAAGCTCTGTCTCCTTCTGGTCTTTGTTAATACCACGGGGTGGTGGGGCTTCTTACTGGCTGGTGGGGATGAAGATGCCAGCAGCCTACTTGGCCTTCTGTGTTACCAACGTAGTAGCCTCAGGGGATTCCCACTTGGCTTCTGTTGACATCAGTGTGGTGGCTTCACAGTTCTTCCTGTGATACTTGAATGAACTAGAGCAGTTATTGGTCTTGGTATCTTGTCTACAGATAGTGATATTTATCTGGAGATTTTTTTTTTCCTGTACTCGTTGGCATTTCTGGGTTACTCTCTTCACATCAAAGTCTAGAATACACGAGGCAAAAAAGAAAATCCAGGGAACTCACCGTCGTGTCATTGCTTGGTTCTCAGGATCATAGCAGATCTACCTCTTCTCTTCCCCTTTCAGAGTCATCTTAATGTTCGTTTTCTGTATAGTACCTAGGAATTTCAGTTGTACTTAGCAGAAAGAATAGATAAAAGTATGTCTGGTCTGTCTTCCCAGACCTAAACATGTCACATGTACCTTTAAATCTTAAGTCTCAAAGATGCCACATACTAAGACAATATTATGAAGGAAAAAAAAAACGTGTTTTGAGTCTTGACTTGTTTTCCCATGTGTGAATGTAGGCTTCCTCGAAAGATGTTGTCAGACAGCTGTGTCAAGAGAGCTTTTCCAGTTCATCCCTTGGCTCAAAAAAACTCTTGGATATGACGTGTTGCAGCTTGTCTGTGACCCAGGAGGAGGCAGAGCACGTAAGTGTGGTCAGAAACAACTTGTGACCAGTTCCACTGGCCACTCGTTAATCTCTCTCTTTCAACTTCCCAGTTGTTGCCATGTTCTGAAGAAAATTTCCTCCCCAAATGGCTGTCAACATTGCAGATTAATTTTTTTTATTAGTGAACTCAAAAGCTTTTTCTTTGAACTCTTCCTTATCAGTAAGGCATGGATGGGAGAACTGTACCCAGAGGCAGAGCTCCCGACCCTTTTCTTTTCACACTTTTCAGACAATGGAGACAAAAGCCAACCTTGGTGATTTTTCTTGCCCAGCCTGTAACTTGCTGGTGCCGATGAGCTGTCAGCTGGATAGCTTAGGGCAGACTTTTCAGGGACCGTGGGGCAGAAGTGTGGAGCTCTGAGTTGGGTACTGCTGGGTTCAGTCAAGTTCTTCAAGGGGGTTTTGGGTACTTCAGCTTTCTCATCCCTCTGCCCCACTGCAGTCTCCTGCTCTGGTCACCTGATCTCAGCAGGTGGCCAAGAGGAGATGACTCCTGCTAAGTAATGTAGCAGTGACAGCCTTACTGTTTTCAGGATAACTGTGTTTCTAAGACAGGCATCTCTTCATCCAAATAGGCTGGTGGTGTTATTCCTTTAATCTGAAGTTTTGCTCATTGAAATCTACTACAGAAAAATTATAAGGCAGAACCAAGAGTTTGGAAGTGACTTATCAGCTTAGTTTTTACTTCCTTAAAGGAGACACTGAGGCAAGTACTAGGGTGCAGCTAATTTTGGGGAGGTGATTCTAGAAGCACAAAGGAATGGGCAGGAAAAATCAAATAGGGGAGGGAGACCAGCCCATGAAGTGTTTTAACGGGCTGTGCACTAACTCCCGCCCCTCACTTCTGGGTTGTCTATCTAGTGAAGCAGGCTGCAGTGGCACCAGAGAAATGGTTACCTCTGGGGTTTCTTGGGCTCAGAGAACATCATCGTACTCACAGATCACTACAGACCACACTGGATGACAGATTCCCAGAGACTTGGGAAGGGGACACAAAGCAGGCGGGGCTTGCACTCCTCTTTCACAGGGGCAGTCCACACAGCCAGCCAGAAGCTGTTTGTTTTCTTTGCCCTTCCAGGTGACAGCTTAAGGGCCAGGACAAGAGACTCCTGCCACCCAGGATTCAGAGCCCACACTCCACAGGAACCAGTATATCTTGTCACACTTTGTCAGCACAGCTTCTGGTTCTTGCAAGGAGATTGCGGCCCCACTCAGGGAAGCCCAGTGCTGCAGGCCCTGGCTGTCTGCGCATTGGACCAATGCAGGGTTGCCTAGTAACCCAGCCACCTTTCAGCTTCTCTCAGGTTACTAGGGAAACAGTCCCAGAAAGTTAACTGAAGGTCAGATACCTCCACAGAAGGAAAGGGGCTGTATTAACCATTCGTCTATGTGTAGAGAGTTTCTGGCCATCCAGCAGCTTCCTAGGCAGGGCCACAGTACCTGTGTTCTAAAGCAGCAGGTGGACCCAGTGGCCGAGGCACACAGGGCACCAGTAGCTGCTAGAGGCATCCACACTCCTGTGACTCATTCAAGTGTCCATGTCAGTGTGCAGTTGTGGAACCTGTCCCTGTCACTGCCACTGCCCCTACCCTTGGGTTCTGCCCCTGCCCCCTGCTTCTCCTGCAACTACAGACCTGCCTTCTGTCCTGCAGCTACTCCAAGCTCTGCACCGCCTCACCAGGCTGGTGGCCTTCCGAGACCTGTCCTCTGCCGAGGCGGTTCTGGCTCTCTTTCCAGAAACTTTCCACCAAAACCTCAAAAACCTGCTGACGAAAATCATCCTAGAACATGTGTAAGTGCTTACTTTTTAGAGTTCTTCCTTTCATGTCTTATTATTTTTAGTTTCCATTTTAGAAATAATAATACTATATATTCATTTTTGAAAATTTAGGAATGGCACCTAGAAGCCTGCTACCTAGAAAGTTAGCAGTATTAATTCCTTAATGAAAAGTCTTTTACCACATGTTTATCATTTCTCATATACATATATACATATACATATATATAAATATATATGTGGAGAGGTTATTGTATTTTTAATAGGAAAAGGTGCCATTTTGTATCTTGCTTGTTTTTAGTTAATAGAATCAACACAAATTATATTTCAGGTCAATAAGTACTTACCTTCAGTATCATTTTACATTTTTAATGGTTAAATGTAAAATATATTCCATTATATAAAGGAATTGGGTTTAAGATTCTTTAGTGGTATACTTTTAGGATATTGGCAATTTTTCACTCTAGAGAACAATTTACAGTAGAATCTTTGCCCCTTTGTTTGTTTATTGGTACCAGGGATCAAACTCAGGACCTTGAGCTTGCATGGCAGGTGTAGTGCCACTGAGCTAAATCCCTGGTCCTTGTTCCTATATTTAATCAGTTCCTTACTGGGCCGGAGGCCCTGAACACATTGGGTTTGACGCCCTTTTCCACCAGTAGGATACAAGGCTCCCTTCTCCCCCACACCTTTACTAAGTGGATTTTTTCTTATCTTTTCCCAGTTCTATAAACTCATTTCAGCTCACATATCATTGAGATTAGTGATGTTGAGTGTTTTTTTCATGTGTTTGTTGGTCATTTTAAATTTCTTTTGTGAATTATCTGTATATTTTCTGAGCTGGCCAGATCTTTTACCACACACACCCACACACCCACATGCATGTGCGTGTGCTCTTAAATAGAATTGGTATTATCCAGCAGAGGGCTTGAACAGGTTTCTACTAACTATACTGCCTGTTTTCCAAGGGATTTGCTATTTATTTGGAGCTTTAGCACTCCTGACCACATCCTGTTCTGACTCTTAGCATCTCGTGGTGACGCTGTCTGCTGGAGTCAGCCAGGCCATGTTCGGTGTGTTTGGCGTAAGTGACGTGCTCTGTGTCCTGGTGCTCAGTAGTGGACACATTGGCCTTTTCTCTGTTTGTCCTTGAGAACAGTAGCGCAGTACAATCACAATGCATTAATCTCTTTCTTGTTTGTCCAGCTATAAGCTAATAGCACTATGGCCTTAACCTCACTGAACTTCATAAAACAAATAAACAAAGACCTGCTTTTTGGAGGGAGGGCTTTTTAAGGTCCTTTCCTTTTAAGAGCTCTGAAGATCATAGGAAAGGCAGAGGCTCAGGCCTCTCTCATTATGAGAAAACGCAGTTTCATCTCTTTTCCATTATTGTTTCCTCCTTTTTCCCTCTCAAACAGATCTGCTTGGAGAACTGAAGCCCAAGCAAATCAAAGTGAGTACCCCTTCCTTACCCCTGTCCCCAGCCCTAGCTCTGAACCTGCCGAGTGATCAGAGACTATAACCAAAAATCAAAAGGAATTATTCTAGTCTCAAATCACTCTTGTGTTTTTTTCTTTGAAGTCCACTTTTGAATTTTTCTCAGATTATAAACATTATTATAGAATCGTGTTTTTAAAATACAGTATACAAAGCAGAAAGTGAAATACTTAATTGCATTAGTCCCTTTCCCATCACTGGGACAAAATACTCAGCACCTGCAACTTAAAGAGGTTTATTTGGTTCACAGCTTCAGTGGGTTCAGTCCATGGCTGTCTCTGACACAGAAACAGTACAGAACAAAACTGCTCACGTCATGGCAGCCAGGAAGCAGGAGAGAAGGGAGTAGCTAGAGATGAGAATATGCCAGTGCCCCTGATGACCTGTCCCTTCTGACTGGGCCCCTCCTGATCATGAGACTTTTGGGGGACATTTTAGATCTAAACCATATCAGTAATTATACTTTAATAAAGGAAAAAAATTAACAGTAATTGAAGTTACTTTGAAAGATTGAATAAAAGTGAGTGTTTAATAACACTGAACCAGTCACAGTTCTGGAGTATTTCATCTGCGCCAAGCCACCGCATCCTCTCAGCATCCCTGTGCAGTGTATAAGCTGAAATGATCCCCGTCTTTCAGAGGAAGAAGCAGCAGCTCAGAAGTTAGTTGGGTGGTAGAAACCTGTGTTCAAACCGCGTCTTTCTTTAAAGCAAGACCTCTTACCACTGTTGCCATAGCGACACTCTTCCTAAGACTCAGGCCATGACGTCTTCTCTGCCTTGTGTCACTTTTCACCCTGTTGTGATCTGGAGGGTTGGGTCTTCAGGCGGAAGCCTGTTGATGCCGCCCACTGTAAGTTAGTTCTGAGGGCTGATGGCCTTGAGCCGTGGGTCATCAGCCCATCTGTCTGTCTCTTTCAGAGACTTGTTGCATAGCTCAGATGTATTTTATGTGTACACCATACCATAGAGGTGTGGCAAACGTGGGTGGCATGAGTAACTCTGAGTAAACTGTCCTTCCACAGTCTCTCTGCCACGCCTAGTTGACCTGGACTGGAGAGTGGATATCAAAACCTCCTCGGACAGCATCAGCCGCATGGCCATCCCCACTTGCCTACTCCAGATGAAGGTGAGTCCACTGTCACGCCGCTCGTTGGATGGGAAGCGGGAGCAGCAGTAGCCTGGCCCCCCGTGGCCATCTCCGACACCAGCCACTGACATCCCCATAAATTAGAGAAAAACATACATGTGCCTGCTTATTCACAGACTGCACCACTGTATTCACATATGAATATAATAGGACACACACCAAAAGTAGAAGTTTTAAAACAGTGAGAGAAATGCAGAACATTTTTTTATTTATTTACTGACAACTAAAGGTTTAAGTTTAGCTTTAATGGTCAGAATATATATTCAGATTTCAAATAGCCTGCTGGGTTTTTTTCAGTGTCCTTTCGCCAACTCCCCCCCACCCCCCATACCGGGATGGAACTCAGGGCCTTGTACTTGCAAGGCAGGCTCAATGCCACTGAGCTAAATCCCTGGCTTCCGACTTCTTATCCCGTAGGATTAGGCCACCGCTCTGGTGGTGTGGCTATGCAGCTTTGGTTGGTGGTGAAGTGTCAGCTCTTCGTTTTCTCGTTCATGTGCCCTTGCCATTGTCTTCACTTTGTGGTTGTTCCAGGGATCTCTTACAGTCACATCCCACTCCGTGAAATGAGGTAAAACTAGATAGCACTTGCTGTATCTGCTTCAGTAACCCAGAAATGCAAGGAAATGAAGTAGGGATACCTCTGACAACTACACTGGAAGTATTAGGCCAAATTTATTTCTCTTTTAAAGATGAGATTTAAAAATCTAGAAATTGCAATATTTTTCCTACCTTCCATGGATTATTTTTTTGTACCACCTAGAGCTCACTTCTTCAAGTACTGGTGTGAACGTGTGATGGCTCATGTGGGTGCTGAGCCTTTGGATGTTGGAGCGTGAGTGGGCCTCGGTGTGGCCTTCTCCGGTGCCCGCAGAGGCTCTGTTGCAAATGGAAAGTGACGCAGGCCTCTGAGCACCTCCTTCCACCCTCCCCAGTTGCCAGCTGGCTCAGGGCTCTCAGCAAAGACTGCAGAGGCCCCACAGGACTGAGCAGGCTCACGTCCAGGGAGATGGGAAGAGAGAAAGCTTTGACTGTGGGCCACATTCTCGTTGCAGATCCAAGAAGATCCCAGTCTTTGTGGGGACAAACCCTCCGTCTCTGCTGTGACCGTGGAGCTGAGCAAAGAAACGCTGGACACTATGTTAGATGGACTGGGCCGCATCCGAGACCAGCTTTCTGCTGTGGCCAATAAATGAACCCACCAGCTGCCAGGGCCACCGCCACTTCTGTGTGGCAGTGCCGAAGCACCTTCCCTTGAGGCAGCGGCTGAGCTGTGGGCTGGCAGGGTGGGGGGGTGGGGGGACTTGCTCACATCCACGAGGCACAGAGAGATAGGGAGGAAGCAGCTGGACCCTTGCTGTTCTTTTTTCTCTTCCTCAAGCTGTTGCACAGAAGCCTCTGTGAAAGGCTCCTGAGTGCGGCCTGCTCACTGCCATGCGGTGTAGGGAGCACATGCAACATCAGCTGCCTCAGTATGGGGGAGATTCAGGCCCACACTGTGGAACTTGCTTCCTGAGTTCATTTCCACCATTAGTTCTGATGGCTTCATTTCCAGCTTGGGAACAAATGGAAGCAAACGAATGAGGCCAGCAGCATCTGCCTCTCTGTCAGAAGCCAGGAGAATCTCACGGAGCTGGGCCACCGCAGTGTGGTTCCCCCAGGGCGTTCCCTTAGCTCTCTCACCCTGCCGGAACATCTCCCAGCTGAGGAAGTCTGAGCCACTCCTGGGGGAGGAAGCGAGAGTACTGCAGTTGGAAATAAATAACAGTTATGATTCTGGTCATGATTCTTTGCACCTCCGTTGTTGCCTTTGGCCAGTGCTACCTTATTCTTGAAGATTCCAACTTCCTGATTCCCAGCCAAGCCCATGACCCCTGGTGTGACATGAAACACGGCATAGGAACCTTCTTACCACCTTCTGTGCTTGTGCTGGTCATATGGAACAGAAAGGAGCAAGGTTGACAGCCTGCATTGTTACAAGAGTCATGACTGTAACGAAAGGACACTGTAAGATCATCTCTGCTAGGTGCCCCCGTGTGTGAAGACCTTTGCTTCATCCAGATCATCCCGCTGCGAGCAGTTTGCAACCTGCTCTCTGAGCTCTGTTTTGGCAGCTTCTCTAAGGGGTGTACCTGGAGTGGATGGAGGAGTGGGACCACAGGTTAAGAATACAGTGTGCACTTGGTGCTCAGGCCACCAGGATCTAAGGCTGGCTTTGCTTCTTAGGTTCAGTTCTTTCCCACACCTTTTTACTTACTATTATTAAATAGGTACAGTAATAGTGCCTACTTCATAGAGCTTCTGTTCAGATGAAATGATACGACATACCTAAAAGCACTTAAGTGTTTACGGCTCATAGGAAAGGCTCAGTAATATTAGCTTCAACTATTAATGGCAATGAAAGCAGAAAGTTCTGCACATTGATGGCTGTGTGAGAAGGAGCGCTGCTGTCCTCCCTTTACTGATGAGGAAACTAGCTCATTGAGGTTTAGTCACCTGCTGGCAAATGGCCTTGTTAGGACTTGGGCCCAGATTTCTCCCAACTTACTGTGACATGGGCCTCAGCAGGGGGCACTGGAGCTCTGTACTTAGCTTCATTTGGAAAATTCTGAAACTGAAATAGGAAAAAGCTTACCTGTGCTCACCCAGTGAGAGGTTAAAAAACAAATTTCAACCCCCCGCCCTTGCTGTTTTTAAAGTGGTTCAGCCAGCTGTGGTGGTGCATGTCTAATTCCAGCACGTCAGGAGGTTGAAGCAGGAGGATTGCAAGTTTGATCCCAGCCTGGGCTACTTAACGTGAGACACTGGCTCAAAACTTAAAAAGACCTGGGGATGTAGCTCAGTGCAAAGGTCCTGGGTTCAGTCCCTAGTGCTATAAAAGAAAAAAATTAGCAATTCTGAACCCTTCTGGGGCCATACCCATTGACAGTCTGATGAAGGCTGTAGCTCCTTTCTGCAGGAAATGAACACCAAATTTGAACACGCTGTGACAGGTCAGGGACTCCTGTAGCCAGCCTGCTACTTACCGGTTGAGAGCCGCTAATTTTAGCCTCACCATGAATTTATCTCTCTTCTCTTTCCACTCGGTGACCTGTAAACAGGTCTCAAATCCCTGTGCTCCTGCCCTTTTCACAGACCTGCCAGAGAAACTAACTTGAAGCAAGGATCCCAGCAGTTGGACATTTCTGCACCAGACTGAGCTGAACAGAGCCACCTGAGTGCATGACCCATGGGAGGGTCCGTGAATGCTTCCTACCCTTTTCCTCACCCGCTCATTGAGGGCTTTGTCCTCCGCTGTTAGCAAGGATGGCTTGTCTGCAGGTGCCATATTTCTGGCGGGCCTGATCCCCAGTTCAGAAGGACTTTCTGGCTTCCTATCTGTTGATCTGACGAGTGGTTCCTTCCCAGTAGTACTTTAGGTGAGGAAGCAGCCCTTCCTCTAGGGCTCAGTAAGGATTTGATATGCAGACTCCAACCACAGAAAGGCAAGGATGGAGCGGGCTGTGCTCCTCGCTGCCTAAAACATTCCACCTATCTGGCCACAAGAGTGAGCAGCAGGCTCATCCTGCTCAACATGTGTGCCAGAGACTAAATGTGCATGACTCCCCCTGGGGCCAGTGTGTCTTCCCCTGGGCTTTAACTGACGGAGTCAGTGGTGATGACCAGCACCTCCTGTGCTTTGATAGTGAGGTCTGTGGTTCTGTCACACAGAGAAAGCCCAACTGCAGGGAGTCCTGGACTCCAGAGGTTGGTTGAGAAGAAGCTAGATCTTTCCCCCTTTTCATTAAACATTGAGCTGCTGGTCTCCAAGGAAGGGACCTGTTGTCTCACTGCAATAGGGAATCAGTCACAATAGCAGAAAAGTATGCAACCTTATCTACATCTGCAGAGCACTGTGATCCCCTCCACACCGACCCCACCAGTGGCCCTTGACACAAGAGCAGGGCACTCTCCGTGACTCCCAGGAACAGGCTGAAGTTTGACACAGCAGAATTTGGAAAGAGAAGTGGTTTATCAAGTTGCCAGGGAGCGCATAACCTCCCGGACCCCAGGCACTTCTACCCAGGTGATTCAGGTAGCCTCTTGTCATTGCCATCCCGTCAGTGGGTTATGCCTGTCCCTTAGTTCAAGATCTACAAGGTTAATCCCTCCTCATCCTCTCCAGGGAGATCTTTTCAAGCCAATTTCCTGTGTAACTGCAAGTTCTTGATCCCAGATCCTGGATCATAGCTCAGTGCTTTACCTGGAGAAACGTTAAGTGCCCCTGGGTGCTCTGCACCAGATTCTACCCTATGAGGCAGCTTGGGGAAGACACAGCTTTTCAGGAGTCACAATTCTAGGTCAGGAATGTATGATAACAGCTGACAAAAAACACCACCCGGTACTGTTAAGCAAGCAGCAGTGCTTCAACAGCCAGCTGGGCCTTCCCAAGCAGTGGCTCTGCCTACTGGGTCCAGGTAGTAAGTCAAGAGCAATCTAAGTTCGCACCACCTCCGTCTGGCACAAAACCACCTGCTTGCTGCACCATTTGTTCTAAAGATGTGTAGCGGGTTCGTTTCAATCAAGAATGGTAAGATGCAGGGACATGGAAGTGACTATCATGAACAAAGACGCTAATGCTGACAAGACATTGATGCCTAGGACACAGGAAGCAGAACATGTCATAGAGCCACATGGGAAGGGTCAATGTTGGTCGGGAGGCAGAAAGGGAGAGGCCAGAGTCTATCGGGGTTTTCATACAAAGGGAAGGTTAAGGCAGGCAGGCTCTCTGAGTGAGTATAGGATGAGAGAGTTTGATTTGGGTGAGTTCTGGGCTGCAGGAATGATCTCTAGTTGGCCAGTACCTGACCCTGACATGATTTAAGGCATTAGCTCTGTGTGTAAGAGTTCGATAAAAAGAGATAGTTGGGCATGTGGCTCTGGACTGGTAAATTTGAATCAAATACACACAGGGACTCCTCTGAACTCTGGGAATTTGCTAGTCCTGGGAGGGGCAGTCTCTCCAGAATCAAGGCCCCACATGTTAGAGCCTCAAGAATGTAGAAAATCAGGACATAGAGCCAATACCAGGATATGCAGCAGCAGCATGCAATCACAGGTCACAGTGGCTTTTAGCACAACCAAAGTTTCTTGGCCAATGTTATGTGGTCCATAATGGCTGGGGGCAAAGGGTGGGTCTGCAGCTCAGTGTAGCCTAAGGGGACCAAGATGATGGCCAGCCTCATGCCGACATATGCCTCCACCATCACCAAGGAAGGGATGGAAGAGAGTGGCAAATCAGACTTAGGGTCTTACAGCTTCTCAGTGGTAACAGGCAAGTCACATGACCACGCCCTACTTCACAGAGCACAGAAAAATTTCATCTTATTCATGGGCTAGGACAGAAGAGAAATGGAACTTTTGTGGTTGCTTTTATGACTACCCAACAATTCCTCAGTGTAAGCTAGTTTGTATTTATAAACAAAAGAGCAGTGAGGAATACCAAGCTGTCCATCTTGGTGTCTTTTTTCAAGATAAACCTTGTCACCTGTGTGGCCTTGAAGGCTTTTGATATATTTCTTAAATACGTTACCCTTCACCCTAGCCCTGAGAGTCAGTGGAGCTTTATTAATAAGTATTTGTGCATTTCACCGAGAAGAAGGCAGCCCAGAGAGATCCTGGGCTATTTGAAACAAATCTAGGTCTTCCCATTTAAAAGCCAGTGATTTCTCCATTTCTCTCTTCATTCAGAGAGAGAAGAAAACTCAGTTATTCACAGATCACTGAAGCCATCCCCAACCTGGCTACTTTTAGCTGTCCCTTCATACCTTTCCCATGTGCATCGTGACCGTCCTCTTTTGCCTCTTTTCCCTGGTGATATTCAGGCACAAGGACCAGCTGTTCAGGGCTTTCCCACACCAGCCAGTTCCCTGCACACCCAAAGTGAGCACCATTAGCCAAGCTCTGTGGTCTGGGATTTACAAATTTCCAGGAAGCAAGTCTAGCCCTGCTGGGGAGAGGCTCTCTGCTATTTTGTTCACTGAGATGTTATCACAAATGAGATATTTTCTTTACTCCTTTTTACATTTTAATGCAGGAGCCATTGGCTGTCTGACATTATGAAAGTTTTTCAGTGGTTAAGCATTTACAGAACTATTTTGAACCTGCATGTGCTGATTTCCAAATACTGATAGTCCTAAACATTCTGAACTGCACCATGCTGATCTTTGCACAACTTCCTTTTAGTACTGCTCACATTTCTGTGGTTTAATTACCCTTCTTACAGCTACTTTAAGAAAGGAAAATGATTTGCTAGTAGTATTCCTGCTTGGTACCAGAGAATGTCAGTCTTCAAAGACAGAAGACAGTTCTTCCTTTGAGGAAGTATCAAGAGCTCTAAAAAGTAGGTCTGCACAGCTGGGTTTCTGTTGACCCTGGGCTCTCGGGGAAAGCTCTGATGGGCTTTTGCATCTTGTCTGTGAGGAAAGAGTATGTACTACTTTCTCATCGCTGAGACACAACACCCAACACCCACAACTTAAAAGAGGAAAGGTTTGTTTTGGCTCATGGGTCAGTCCATCATCAGCTGGCTCCCAAGAAGAAAGCATGGCAAAGAGCCACAGCAGAGGGAATCCTGCTCCTCTCACAGTAGCCAGGAAGTAGAGAGCAAAGGGAGGACCTGGCAACAGAGATAAACCTTTCCAGGCCACACCCCCATTTCCGACCAGGCCCACCCCCCAACAGCACATTTACCTATAAACTCATCAGTTGACTAATCCACCAATGAATATAGTTGCCCCCACAACCCAGTCACCTCCAATAAGCAACGAGTGCATGAGGCTTTGGAAGGATAGATACAGCCCGTAGCAGATAACTATGAGCTATGATTGAAAAATACAAGGAATGTTTTAAAACTACTATAGTAGACCCACTCCCCCCTGCTTGGGAGACTCTTGTGCCATCATTCTTACTACTTTCTGAAGCAGTTCTGGGAGTGCTCTGTTAGGAGTGTCTGTATGAGGTGTGACCTACATTATGGTAATGCTGCCGCTGAGTGCCATCCAAAGGAAAGGCAGGCTTGTAAAGACGTGACAGCGTGTCCTCATCCACTTTATTCACTGGATCTGGCACCGTGCAACTTCAGGGTCTTCCCCAAAGTCAAATGGCCATGAAAAGTATACATTTGATTTGATTCAGAACATTGAGGTAGCCAACTCTACAACTGAAGATACTCATGAAAGAGGACTTCCAGAAGTGTTTCAGAAAGTGACAAGAAAGACGGGTTGA